CATCCTCTGTAGTTTGCTGGATGTTCTTCACCACAAAGGGCACATTTCGCAGGCAGGTCTCGAGGTCTCTGACAAGTGTCAGATGCGTGGGGGCCGGCACATTTCACGCACCTCGCCTGGTGATGACAATAAGTCTTTGTATGCCCAAGTCTTGGCACTTAGTGCATTGCACTATTATAGGCTTTTGTCTAGGCTCTTCAAATTTAATGGTGGAATATATAAGCCTCTTTACTTGGAAAATTTCGATGTTATTGCTGGCAGGCTCTAAATCGACGAAAAATAGTGGTAAAGGATATTTTTCCGTTGGGTGTAGTACGCATGATATGTGCCTAACATTATGACCTATTTCTTCTAGGCCACTTTTGATGAAAGATATTGGGGTGCTTGAGTGTAGTCCTCTTAACACCACTCGGTATGGCTTTTCTTGTCTTAATTGATAACAATGAAAATCATAGTTTTTGGACGTAAAGTAATTTATAAGTGCTTTGTAATTTTCTCGAGAGTTTGTGTTTATTTAAACAGGACTTAAATGGCTAATTTTCAACATTTTTTCCTTTGAAGTAGCTTTAATTGTTACCATTTCACATTGAATTCTAATTAAAAAAAAATAGATATTATAAAATATGAAAGAATTTGGTAAATATGGAAAAAGAAATAAGAGAGTAGTTGTCATAGAGGGACCAAAGAAATACGAGTGTGCTTAAGCTCACCAGAAAGATTAGAATAGTCTCCCATATGTAATATGAGCTTAATATAAATGGAATCCAACAATATTATATACATATACAAGTGCAGTTTTCAGAAATCATATATAATCTATTGTTGGTATTATTTAATATTTAATTGTATTGATTACGGTGATATAAAAATTAAAATTTGTATATATACCGCTACTCAAACAAATAAAAATACCCACAATGAAATATAAATAAATATAGTAGCCTTCTTAATCATTGGCACTCTTGTCGGGCTGAAAATATTTTGTGACACTTAATTATTTATTATTATTAAATAAATAATTGAAATATACAGTTGTAAAAGGAAATAGCTAGTGTCAAACAAAATAAATATAATAGATTAGATGGCTATGAAAAACATTTGATAATTCATTGTTTTAAACCATTAAAGTAAAAAATTTTTACTTTCAATTCCCTTTATCTGAAAATACTTATTTCAGCTAAGAAGAGAGTTGTAAGTGAAAGTTGTGTGATATGTGCACCACACACAGTATTTTCATAAGACTGGAAGTGCCGATCAGTCAAGAAATGTGCCATCCAACAAAATAAGTAATAATTGGAAGGGGATTATTTCCAGTGAATATGGCGGGTGGGGCAGGATTTCTCATTTAAGTGTTACCAGTAGAGATAGGAAATTCCAACTACAGGTCGGGACAGAACTTTTTACCACTGGAATTCAATCTAGTTCTCATTCTGTTCCATGTTTGTTCTGAACATACTTGAAACAAGATAGATAATAATGAATCAAATATGTGTAATAATAAAACTATTTAAAACAACAAAAAAATCATTGAGGCAGAGGAAAATTAAGATTAACAAAACGGAGAGAAGTTCAAAAAAATGAAGAAGAAAAAAATGGACTGGACATTTTAGGAACATTGATGAGAGCCTGAGAGCAACATTCTCCGAAAGGGAGATTGAATCAAAGGCAATTATGGAATTAAACAGGTACTTAGAAAAGGGTATTGTAGACAACGAGGATCCTATTAAGTGGTCATTTAGTCTGTAGAACAGCTACCTTAATTTGTACATCATTGCCAAAGAAATGTTGAGTATAGTCTTCACTTTGGTTCCATGCCAACAAACTTTTTCAAAAGCTGGCATGTTGATTAATGAACGTCGGACTCGACTATCAGTTGATAAAGTAAAAAAATTGCTATTTTTAAATTCCAATTTTTGAATTAATGTTATAGTTGTTGTTTTTTTTATTCATTCTAAATTTTATATTATAAATTATTTTGACTTTATCTTTATTTATTTAAATATAGTTCTGCTATAAAACTATATTTTGGTTGGTGAAATTCATATATTTGTCCTATTAATTTTCTTTAAATATTCCCTTACCTCAAGTTGCGGAAAAATATTAATGATTAAAAATCCTTTTCTATTATACACACAATTTAATTAATTAAAGACTTACTAATTTAAAATAAAAATAACAACACACATAGGCACTTTAATCAGTGCCATAATTATTCCAAACAGAGGCTAGAATACTAGATACCCTTCTCTAAATTAAATTTAGTTGTTATGGTTCACTTTTGAAGCAAAAAACCAATTTGACCATTCCATTAATCCACTTCGGCAGCAATCTGCTATAGCGCACTCAGCTTAATTGGTATAAATCCCTTTTGTACCTATTTGACTTTGCTGCCAAATAGTTGTCCATCAAAAGGTAAAGACATTTATATTCTGCTCTTAGCTTATGCTCCAGTGGGACAAAGTTTTGTAGTGTCTCATTCTGTTCCCTCCGGAATGGTCCGTCCCTAATTACCAGGTAGGTTTTTACCGGTTTTGCAACATGTGGCCGAATGTTGTCTTGTAATAAAATCATCTTGTCATGTCTATGCTCATATAGCAGCCATTTGTCCTTTAGGGCTCAGCTCAAATGGATCAGCTGTAGTTAATAGTGATCTGTGATAAGTTTCGTATAGTTTGAGCAGTTCATAATAAATTACACCGTGCTGATCTCACTAGGAGATCAGTAGGGGGACTTCTGCAATGTGAATGAGAAGCTTTGAATCTTGGACATTTGGCTTTGCGAATGATGTTAATGCATGGCTTGGTTTATCGCACAATTTTTTAAGCTTAAGATTATCATACTGTATCCATTTTTCCTTGCAATTTATGATACAATACAAAAAAAAACTTCCCCTTCTCTGCAGGTGAAGCAGCAGTTCACACTTAAGGAAACGTTCAATATCTCTTTGCTTCAACCATTGTGTCATAAAGTAATGATTTTCCAAGTTCAGCTAGTGTCTGATAGGGGGTTTCTTTAAGTATTTTTATCTCCAAGATTAAAATATTGTTTTTAAAGCACCGAAACCAGTTTTATTTTTGACAGAACTTGCTCATCTCAAGTCTCAGGAAGGATTTTGTCTGCTTCAGCTGCAGATTTAAAAAAAATAAAAGTAGTGTAGTAAAATTCACCTTAATACTTTTTATTTGGCACAAAACGCGATATTTTTAGAATTACAAAAAAAAAAGTCTACACTGTGGCAAACTTATCATAGCCAGGAGTCCAAGCTTACTAGCAGTAGTTCTTGAAAAATTGCGTTGCCATCTGAAATGAAACATGTATAGTACTGATGCTAGCTACCATCTGTTTGTAAATAGTAATAACTTCTTCAGATTCTTAATATATAAAAAGTATATATTCTTGATTCATTTATAACAATGCATCCAGGTCGCTGTATGAAAGAAATTAAAATGTTATAATTTTTTATCATTGTTATTTTTGCTTCAAAGAAAATAACTGGGTACTGGGGTAACAAAATATCAAATCACTAAATTTTTTCACCCAACTTGAGGTGAATCTCAACTCATTCTGTAACAAACTTCAACTAAATCAATATGGACTTAAAGCTTATTAAACAAGAAAGTTTTTACAAATGAGGTTTCTGTGATCTAGTGGTTGTTGGTAAAGAAAAAATAATCACGAATAATTGATGACATGAAAAACAGAACTTAACGTAGTTAAGCAACGTAAAAGTCCCCTTTAAATAGTTTTGACAAAGGCAAACTCTACTTGCATTTAGAGGAAATTATATCTAGTTTACTATGAAGTAATTGTTGGATAACTAAATTACATATATTTTAAGTTATCGCTTCCTATTAAAAAGAAATGTTCCACAAAAAAAAACTTAAATTTCCCCAAAATCAGACCGTAGTTTGTATAAACTTATTTGAAGCTTTTGAGGTTTACTATACTTACTAATGGGATATACCTCTTTACTTATGAGATATCTCATATATTAATCCTCCTTTTAACCCACCGCTTGCAATGATTTCCTTTGTTTATCACCCTCTTTCCTCTGAAGGGTCAAGTTTCCACCTGATATAGACGGAGTGTGCCTTACCATCATTCATTTATTTTTATTTTATCTCATCTTTTTTCTGCAGTTAAACTTATTTAAGACTTTTATTGTTACTGTTGTTTGAGTTTCTCGATGTTTTAGAGTGGCTGAGTGTCCCTGACCGCTATATTATTTTACTTTCACCATAATTTGGGTTTTTAAGATACTTAAGGCTTTACATTTCTGGTGGTTTAAGGGACTTCCTTAACACGTCAGAGGGATTGAGTGTTTACTACTATCTTGATTTTGCTTATGTCTTTATTTGGTTTTTATGTGACTTAAAGGGATCAAGGCTATACATTTACAACTGTTTAAAGCGCTTATAGCTTTGTTGGTTAGAGCATGATCTAGGTCAAATTACCTCCATGCACAACCGTTGACCAAGAAATAGTACTTCCTTACAAAGTATTGAATCCAAGACCCTTCATGGGTTTCAGTGGTACAAGTGTGTGTGAAGTAATAGCTTTATTGGTGCTGAGTGTGCCTGACAGCCATTTTAGTTTTTCTTACTATTTTTGCTAAGTTTTTAACCTCAATACTACCACATGTCATAAATAAAACAATGTTGTAAGCAATAACAAACTTAATGGAAGTTGGGCACACTCAGCTTCTCTAAGCATTAAGTCTCTTAAACAGCCATACATTTAAAGGCCAAAGTAACTCAGTAACGCTGTGTAATTAAATGGTACTCAATAATTTAATAACCACACAATTTAAATCAATAAGAAATAAACCTATCTTAACAAAAAAATATACTTATGATTTATTTTTGAAGGCAAATAAAAATAGTTACAGTGAATGATTATAACAGTTCAATAAATGTCATTTAAAAATCCAATTTAAAGTAGAAAAAATAAAAAATAATTATTCTGTTTTCAACCTTTTATATTAATGACTTTTGTTCTAGAATATTGATAATCTTGAAAGATTGGCTGGTATCAGTGAAGAGAAGCTTATTGAAGCTCATGGGACATTCTATAAGTCACATTGCTTAGGTTGCCAGAACCAATATGGCTTTGAGTGGCTCAAACGTGAGATATATTTTTTTAATTCCTTAATTTTTAAGAATTTTTAGTCATAATTTATAAAATAAAAATCTCTTTCTAGTTTCGTTTACTCATAAGTTATTAATTTCCTATCATTATTTTATATAGATCCCTTGTTTTTGGTTACTATTGAAGTAATTTTAATACTAAGCTACTGAATCAACTGCTGGAAATTAACATAATTGTATTTTGTAAATGTAGTGATTAATGATCAATGCAATGTGATGCTTTAAGAGGTATATTAACACGTGTGTTTCAAAAATCACTTGTAATTTGCCATTTGCTCAATCAAGATCAAGTTCAAGTAAATATTTTAAAACAATCGGCTACAAAACATAATTAATATAGGAGCAAATTTCATTAATAACACTATTGGTGTTATGCATAGACGTTCCTTATACTTCACTATTCCCTTATGGTCCCAAACTGCTTGAGGTCAGAGTTCATCCCTTCAAATTCTCCTCTACTATACAGGGATATTTGGGAGAGATAAAGGGCCCTTCATTATTCCAAAAACTCCCCTTTACACTCACTACAGCTTATATTTAACTAATATAAAATGTAATTATAGTCTTACATGTTATTATTATTATTTTTGCTATTATTATACTTAATTATTATGTTTGTTATTATTATACTTCTACCTAAATAAAATCTATTGAAATAGAACTTCTTGATTAAAACTATTTCTGAATATTTAGGAGGTAGATTAAAAGCTAATAAAGAAAATTTTTATTGAGAACGTTGTTTTCTCCACTCTACTTGAATGATTCAGTTGTTGAAGGTAACGGTGGTGTTACCATACAATAGCTTGTTTTATTGTTATTATCTATAGGTGACTCAGTAAATATTCAGTGTGAAGGAAATACATTTCCTCACTTCACAAGTTTTAGAAAGAGTGTCAGTTCTGGAAAGCAAGAAAACTCTTGGAAAGTATAAAATTTTCTCTAATATCCTTATCAAGTGTATCAGTGTTCTCATATATATTGATCTATTAGTATTCATATTTAGTATTTATATGATAATAGCTAAAATGGCAAGGGAGAAAGCCTATGTAAGTTAATTAGTTTTATCAGAACTTATCATACTATGTTTTGCATATATAGAATTTGTTCCTTTGATAATACCAGGTTGTAAAGTAACAATATTAATTTATCATGTAATTTAATTAAATCTGTCAAACGTTTTCAATTTAAAAAATTATTTTTTTCCTTGTAACTGACAATGATCCAGTTTTAATCTAAGAAGAACCTATTATTAAACCATTAAACCTAAGTAGTATAAGTAAAAAAGTAAAGATTTTAAATATTGATGCCTTATTAGAAGCACTATAAAGGCAGGTATAATAGATTAATATAAATTTCTTAATGAGGAATTGCCACTTAATTTTTCTGATAAAAATAGTCAGTCTCAAGCATATCCAGCAGTTTAAAACAACTTGTATTTAACCCTGTGGGTAGTCAGGCCATTACCTTTTTAATTATTAGAAGCCTACAAGTTAAAAAATACTTGTAAGAACAGGCAAATTAATAATTTAACTTACAGTGCAATTTTGGTTATTATTTTACTTCTGAAATATTTTGTTTACTATTTTTTTTAAGTTTGAAGTTTCAAACTTCAGAGTTTTTATTTATTTTAATGGACAACATCTGGGGTCAATTTTCTACAATAAACTATTTTATATCAATTTTTTAAAAATGTTTCTAAGTATCAAATAGTTAGTACCAAGGTTTAGAACTTTTATAATAGATTTTTTGAAACATTTTAGAAAAAAAGTTTTGGAAATAAAAATTCTAAGGAACTTTTTTGTAATAAAGTTATTGATTTATGGTAAAAAAAATTACTGTTTATAATATGAGAAATAAAAAGTTATTGGGTTTATATTACAGATATAATTTATTCTAATTAAATTACCTGATTCTTTTATTTCTTTTGTTGGAATAGAATGTTATGCTCTAATACCATTTTTTGGACTGGCATTTTAATGAAATCAATTGCTTCAACCAAGCTTTTTAATAATATTTTTTTTGAAGTCCTGTAAAATTTTCACTTGAAAAGTTACATGGGATAACTTTCTAGTTAAGAAAAGTTCCTCCACCAGGGAAAGCCACGCTGCCCGAGATTCCCCCCTCCCCCACGGGTATGTGAGGCCCATCAGCCTACTGAAGGGAACTCACACTGACCGGTTGTAGGATTGACGACCCTACCTCTTGTACTTAAATCAGGAATCGGGATGTGGTCTAGGAGACCACATCTCGCGGTCAAAGATCTTCATGGTCTTTAGCGCCAACCGAAAAAAAAATGTATATGTTTATACTGTTTTATATACAGAATAAGAGCTGTGTATTATCGAAAATTGCGAAAAGTAAGTTTTTCTGTATAGTTTCAGAGTTTAATCATTAAATTACAATTGCTCTAGCCTATGGTTAAAGAGAAGATAGTAAAATAATATATAGTGTAATATACTCCTTGATTGGAAGTTGGTTTAGGTGGTTTGGTGAATTAATGTTGAATAGTTGAAAGGCAAGCTAATCTAGTTCAGCTAGTTTAGGAAAAAGAAAATAACTACTTTTTAGTTTCCCCAGAAAGGGAAATCCCAAAATAAGAGAGGGGATAAAGGTTTTTTTTGGCAAAACAGTTGATGTTTGGCTGGAGTGAAGAGAGGATGGGAGAAGGGTTCCTGGCTCCAGTGGGTAAACCAAAGTAATAGTATTACCATCTTGGAAGTTGTTATTTGGCAGAGATTAGTTGTCAAAAGAGAAGATCTCTCAGAGAGATTGAGTTCTTCTTCTTCTCTCACTATCTCCTGTGTGCTGTTAAGTGTGGAGTAGCTGCCTCTGACCATCTTGTCCAATGGTCCCTGTCCTGTGCAAGCCTTCTCATCTCCAGCATGGTGCTTCCTCTCGCTGTGTCTATTCTCTCTATCAAGTCTGCATACATGTCTTGGCCTGCCTTGAGGTCGCCTTCCTCCCGGTCTTGCTTCTAGAAGCCACCTGCCCTTACGGTCATCTCCCATTCTATTAACATGCCCGTACCACTTAAACTGCCTTTCTTCAATCTTCTCTAGGACGGATCTAGCTCCTAGTTCATCTCACACCCTTTCATTCCTTATTCGATCTCTCCTGGTTTTTCCCAATATTTTCTGTAGGAATCTCATTTCTGCAGAGACAATCTTGATGGCATGGCGGTCCAAGAGTGTCCAGCTCTCCGATCCGTATAGCAGCACTGGGAGAAAAACTGATTTGAATAGCAGAATCTTCGCTTTTCTGCTCAACTCCTGCTTTCCAACGGGTGTCATGGATATTTGGTAGTATATTCCATTGGCCTTTTGGACTCCATTCATGACCTCCTGGTCTATTCTTCCATCCCTGCCAATCATTGTTCCCAGGTAGCTGTAACAATGCCTGTGTCAACACTGGGCTTATATTCCAGTATCCCACTATTGCTCTGGGTGTCCTCCTTTTACAAAATTTCCAAATGGAATCCATGAAAATTTTGAACAGTAGGGTGCTCAGGCTATCGCCCTGTTTAATTCCCCTAAAGAAATGGAATAACCTAGACTCAATGCCGGCTAGCCTTATTACTCCCTTAGGGTCTTGGTACACTGACTCAATTGAACTAATAAGATTTTGTGATATTCTCCTATCTTGCAATGCATCCCATATTTCCTGTCTAGGAACATTGTCGAAAGCTGAACGTAAATCTAGAAAAGCTAGGTGTACTGCCCATGCCTTCTCTACAATCATTCTCAGAGAGAAAATATGATCTTGTGTCTGCCTGCTGGGTCTAAAACTTGTCTGTTCTTCTTCCATATCTTCTTCCACCAAGTTCCTTAATCTTTATTCCAGGACTCTAGTGTATACTTTGTTTACCACCGATGACAGACATATGGGTCGGTAATTATCGCATACACTTTGGCTTCCCTTCTTATGGATTGGGATAATGATATTGTTTTCCCATTCTATGGGTATCCTTTTGAAATCCCAAACCTTTTGGAATAGTGTTTGGAGACACTTGACCAACTCATTTCCTCCATATTTTATAAATTCGGGTGCAATCCCATCTGGCCCAGCTGCTTTTCCCATCTTCACTTTAGCAATGGCTGCTTCGACTTCCTCCTCTTCTATGGTGTCGTCCATGTCGGGGACTTCTGGTTCAGTTCTTCTACATCTTCTACGGCAACCTCAAAAATTTCATCGCCTTTCTTCCATTCTGAATTTTTCTTGGAAGTATTTCCTCCAAACCTCCAATATGTCCCTCTCTTCTGTCACCAGCATGCCATGCTTATCCTTTAAACTTCTCACAGGCTTTGCTTTTTTGTTCCTTAGTGCTCTTGTGATGTGCCAGAATTTCCTTATATTTTCTTTATAGTTTTGATCCAGTTCTAGCCCGAATTCCTCCCAAGATTTTCTCTTCTCTTTCTTAACTATTCTCTTATACTGGTTTCTTTTCTCTACGTACAATACCCAATTTCCTGACGACTTGCTTCTATAGTACTGTTTCCAGGCTTCTTTCTTTGCAGTTATGACTCGTTTCACATCCTCGCCCCACCACCTAGTTTTCTTAGTAGTAGGTCTTATTGCTGTAAACCACATACTTCCTCGGTCGTCTTGAGTATACTAAATTTGATTTGCGCTCAAATAGTGTCAACATCTGCGTCTCTATTAACTTCTTGGAGTTGGATTTGAAGGCGATTTGTATAAGTATGCTCTTTTTTTGTGGTTTTAGTATCTTGGAGTCAGAAACCAATAGCCTGTGATCCATATTTAATTCTGCTCTTTAATGTCTGTAAAGTACTGTCTGAGTTCCCTATCGATGATAAAATAATCAATGATGCTATTTCTGGTAGCTCTTCCATTACCTCTTTCAAATGTGATTTTATGGATTGTCTTATGGTTATACCATGAGTTTCCAATAAGCATATTATTTTCTACGCAGAACTCAATTAGCCTGATTCCATTGTTATTGATGTAATCTTCAGCTTCCCATATACCCATTGTTCCGAGTGCTGCTTGATGATCCCGACCTGTTCTTGCATTTAAATCTCCAGATACTATGATCATTCTATTCCAGTTCCTTGGGTTATCTACTGTTCTCTGCAGGTCTTCATAAAACTGGTCTTTATCTACAGTGGCAGAATCTTCGGTAGGAGCATATACCTGTATCATGGCAACTTTTCCGATGGAGAGCACAATGTCCATAATGATAATCCTAGATGATATGGGTTCCGAGACTTCTACTCAATCAAATAATTCGTCCTTCAGGACAAAGCCGACACCTTCTTTGGCTTTTTGTCCTATATTAATTCCTGAATATATCATACTATACTCCTCTGGGAATTTTACCAATCCATTCCCTTTCTTCTTCACTTCACTTAGCCCGATGATATCCACCTTACATCTTTTCAGTTCCTCCACCAGTTCTCTCTCCTTACCCATAAGTGACGTTATATTCCAATTAGCAAAACGTAAGTCCTTTTTCCTGCCACGTCTATAACCATTTGACTGTCCGGATCCGAGGCTGCTTATATTTTTTTGAATCAATTTACTCTAGATGGGTGATTGGCCCGATACTAGAGGCTCCGTAACCTCGGGAAAACTGGCCTCCTGAATATTTGTATCCCCTCAGGAGAAAGGGTGGCTGGGCTATACCCCCCAGCACTGGGTACCTGTTGGTCCATGGGTCTTTATTCATTGTATTCACACCATCCCTCCTAGGAGGGATCCCCCATCCGCCACCTGGGGGACGCGCTCCCTAGCGGGCAGGTTCCGCCGAGAGAGATTGAGTTCAATACAAGAAATTGTCACCATTTTGGAAGATGTGTTAGGCAGAACATAGGAAAATGTTAGAAGACAAATGAATTTAGTGCAACAAAGGATGAAACTGGATATTTATAATTCATCAGATCAGTGTAAAATAAAGCAGTTTTAAGTAAAATGTTATTATTCTGATTGATGTTCTCTAACAGGACTGAAATGGCTAATTTTCAATATTAGCTTCCTCTAAAGTACCTTTAAATTTTTTATTTGAAACCATTGACCATTTCACATTAATTTCTAATATGAAAAATGGTTAAATATAAAATATGAAAGAATTTGATAACTAACTAAAGGAGAAATAAGAGATCGTAACAGAGAATAGTTGTAATTGAGAAACTAAAGGAATACGAGCGCACCCAAGCTCACTCAAATGATAATACGGACTCCGACAATATTATATAAATATGCATATGTGGTTTTCATTAATGCTATTGTTGGTATTATTTAATATTTAATTGTATAGATTACAGCGATATAAATATTATAATTTGTATATATGAGAGTACTTATACAAATGAAAATACCCACAATGAAATACAAATAAATATAGAGTATAATTTTTACTTTCACTTCGCTTTGTCTGAAAATACTTATTTCTGCTAAGAAGAGGGTAGTAAGTGAAAGTTGTGTGATCCACGCACCGCACCTAATTTTTTTTTTTATCAGATTCAATGTGAAATGGTTAATTATTTAAAATAAAAACAATTAAAGTTACTTCAGAGGAAGAAATATTGAAAATTAGCCATTTGAGCTCTGTTAGGGAACATCAATGAGAACAAAACCTACATTATATTAAAACAGCTTAATTTTACTCTGATATAATGAATTTAATCATAATAATTAAAGCCGTTTTTAAAAATGTGTTAAATCTATGATATAAAGTGCCACTTCCGGTTAGCTGATTTTGATAAAAAAGTTGCTATAACATCTCAGGCATATACAAACCTTAAATATGCAATTTCACTTTCGTATGACTTTTCTTTTTTGAGCTAGACTGTTACCACTTACACACGCGGACAATTTTGTGAGACTTGGTTATTTGGACTCAGGAGATTCAAAACGTGTATTTTCATTGAAAACTTAGATTCGAAAATTTTCACGATATCAATACTTTCCTTTACTATATATTTCATATATAGGTAAGTGAAAGTAAAAATAGAACTGAAAAATATAAATTAATAAACGGGACTAACTAAATATATTTATATTAAAAAATGAGTTGTGGTGAATATACCGTATTACTTTGAATACAAGACACCCTTTAAATTGAAATATTTCTGTGGTTTTAGTAGAATATTCAATGAATTAAAAGACTGGTAACAATTAAATTTTGGGAACATTGGTAATAGGAAATTTTTTATATTGAATACTTAATAGTCGACTGTTGTATTATAGAGGAAGGAGATGGTCCAGGGGGGAGGAGGGGCAGTCATATATGGACTAAAATAGTGGCAAAACTATTTTATTAAAAGCTAACTCTTCAACCCGACTTTGCAGGTCTTCTTCAGAGCTAAAACGGACAAGATACAAAAGGAAATAGAAAATTGTGAAAGTTACATAATATTTAGAAAGAAATTATAAACAAGGTGAATAAACTTATTGAAATTATAAACAGTAAGTACATTGAAATATCAAGAATCATAAGCTATATAAACAGAGTAAGCTAAGTAACAATACCTAAACTGAAGTAAATAGATGGTAACAATTGGAGTATAATATAATATATGCAATTATGAATATACTACACATCTCAAGGAGAGATTAGAAGAAAAGGAAAAATAAAATGAAATAATGGACATAAAGGGATGTGAAGAAAGAAAATAGAAAAAAAAAATAAGTAAATAAAATAAAATGAATAAAAATAAAGAGGTGAATTCAGCAAGGAGTTTCACTTAAAACTGGGAAACTTGGGTAGAGGGCTAATTTGCTGACCTGGTTGGGGAGTAGTGAGGGTGTAAGTTGTAAAAGCAAAACAAAACCTGGAATATTACAGTATCTAAGATTTGATGATATTGATGGATAAAAGAAAAATTACGATATCTATAAAGTAATAAATTATAAATGTATACAATTACATATAAAATAGAATTAAGAAATCAGAGATAGAAGTACTATGTGAATAAAAACAAAAATGAAAGAAGTAAAACGTACATAGAAGTAAAATGTAAATATAAAAATAAGAGATCATAGATCGCAGAACTAATTTAGGAGTATATAGAAGAAACAAATATGATTAATTATAATTATACTTAGTTGTACATATTGTAAAAAAAAATACATTTAAATATTAGATAATATTGAGACTTAATGTGCCATAAGTTTTTTATAGCATTTTAGGTACTTACGAAATTCCAAAAATACAAATGAGTAAAAGCTGAAACAATAAAAAATAAGTATTTATTTTTAATTTATCTCATGAAGTAGGAACTTAGAAAGAAATCTATTTGGTAGAATTATTTGTGAATCATAATTTTAAATTGGTAGTTATTATATATTGACAGTTAAAAAAATTATTCTGTCTTCTTAAAGCCATTTTTAGTTGTTTCGTGTAATTTTATAATTGGAAATATAATCAGTGTTTAATTGATCTATTTAATGTGTGTTTCATTAGAATTTTTTTTTCAATAATACTTTAATTTAAATATTTTTTTTAGGCCAAATTAATAGAAAACGGATTCCCCATTGCATTCATTGTAATGCCTTAGTCAAACCAGATATAATCTTCTTTGGAGAGAATCTCCCTAGAAGATTTTACCAAAAAATGTATAGTGACTTTGTCGAATGTGATTTATTAATCATAATGGGATCATCGTTAGAAGTTGAACCATTTGCATCTCTTGCATTGAGGTAAATATTTTACATAATTTTTAATAGTACATTTAATTTATTTGTTGTTTAGATCTTATATAGATCAAACTGAAAATCCGTTAACCCCAATCCTTATATTTAATCCTTAGATCTTACCTTTCCAGTTGTTCCTTCCAGGTACGCTGTGGCACAGAACTCTACAACTATTATCCATTAGAAGCTGTTGTTCCTCAAGGCACCGTCTTGGGCCCAGTTCTCTACATCCTTTTCACTGCTGACATCCCTACAAATCCCAATACTTTCCTGGCAACATTTGCTGATGACACCGCTATTCTTTCCTCCTGCTCAGAACCTCAAATGGCATCCCTAAACCTGCAAAGCCACCTTTCCCTAATTGAGCAATGGTGTAAGGATTGGCGTATTAAAGTAAATGAATCCAAGTGTAAGCATAAGCATATTTCCTTCACACTCTGATGCAAATCCTGTTCTATATTTTTTAACTCTATACCTCTTACCTTCTCAGACAGTCCGGTACTTGGGCTTCCTCCTAGACAAGAGACTGACATGGAATCCGTATACCAGACTTAAAAGACAAAAACTTAACCGACGATTTGGCCAGCTATATAGACTACTGAACAGAAACTCACATCTTTCAATTGAAAAAAAACTGCTAATATACAAAACCATACTGAAACCCATCTGGACCTATGGACTTGAACTGTGAGGGACAGCTAAGTCTTCGAACATCAAACGCATCCAATCCTTTCAATTCCAAATCCTTCGAACAATAGTCAATGTTTAATAAGTGTCAATTTACAGTGTAGAGATCTGTGTAAAAAAAAACTATGGTTCATTATCATCTTGATTGATAATCATTTTATAATGCAGTATTATTTTAACATTTATTTCGAGGATGAAACAAAATTGTCAGGAATTTCAGCCACGATAACATTTCTTATTAACTTATAGTTGAAGGAATGAATGAAAACGTGTTTATTATACTTTTTTAAAAATATACAAAGAAAAATAATTATACTAGCAACAACACTTAGACAATGGAAAATTCCCTCTCGAGTCTGTGTGTAATTAATAATAAATATTCATTACATTTATTGTGTTAAGCTATAGTTATAAATATTATCATGACTAAAATTCTTAACAATTTCATTTCATCCTCAAAATAAATGTTAAAATAATACTGCATTATAAAATAATTATCAATCAAGATGATAATGAACCATAGTTTTTTTTTACACAGATCTCTACAGTGGAAATTGATCCTTATGGTTCAGTACCAAGTTATTAACTAAATATTTTTAATCTTAATATTTACGTTTACATGAAAAAATCCTTATGCACGAATATTATCATTTCTCCGATTATGGCTATTATTGAAATAAAATATTTCATTTCTTGTAAATGTTACTTCTTCAGAAAAAAATGTTATTCAATGAAAATAGAGTTTCATTCCTTGAATGAACGAACTGGTGAAAGATATGTAGGATCTCCTTATCAGTTTGGACAGATGAAGTTCTACCAGACCCATGGTCTTAGTCACTCATTTTTCCTATATTTAAGAGGGGCGATCAACTTTTTTTTAAAGATAACCCCCTACCCACCATTTCTGGCATACAGGGGGGGGGGTCGTTCTAGAGGTACAACCAAACCTATTCTAACCAGAGTGGGAGGGTCGAGTTTCATTCCGTGGGGCCGCCACAAAATAAAAGTCAACCACTCCCAGGCCGGATTCGAACTGGCGTCCGCTAGGCACGAGGATGCTAGACTGGGCAACGCTCCAACATACTCGGCCACCACGACCTAGAGGGGCAATCATCTAACATTCTTCAACTAAAGAAGGATCTCCCTCCTATCTGCCGGATACAAGCTCCTCTCAAACATCCTCTTTAGGCAGGTCTACGACAGATATAATTTTCTGTCTCAGGACAATCCTGGAATGAGGAAGGGAATTTGAGATTAAAACTTGTCACCTCTTCATCAATTTTAGAGCAACTTATAATAATGTGAATAGAGAAGAATTGTATGAGGCTCTAAAGCATTTTAAGATCCCTAGCAAGCTCATAAGCCTTGTAAGGCTTACAGTGTTAGCTGCATGGTTCAAATCAGTGGAGAGAGGTTGGAAGAATTCCTCTAAGGAAAAGAGTTACGCCAGGGAGACGCCTTAGCATGCCTCCTCTTTGCTCTTGAACTTGAGAAAGCAGTGAGAGATGCTGGCATACAGACTAAAGGCAACATCTTTAATAGATCTGTACAGCTCCTTGCATATGCAGATGATATAGACATCGTAGGATGTTCCTTCCAGGCTGCATCGGATACTTTCCTTTCTCTGGTGGGTCCTGCAAGAAGACTTGGCTTGGAAGTAAATGGAGCCAAACCAATTTGAGAAGACAAATGTTATTTATATTTCAGCTCATTGGTAACTCAAGACAATACCCCTGAACAAGAGGTACGGCGTATGATCATAGCAGCAAATCGATGTTATTTTTCTATGGCAAGGCTGTTCCGGAGTGAGCTCTCTCTAGAAGATCAAAGCTATGTCTTTACAAGATGATAGTGTGCTCAGTCTTGCTGTATGATTGTGACACTTGGACTACTTCCTGCGTTGTGAACTGAAACTCTTAGTCTTTGAAAGAAGAATCATGAGACGTATCTATGGTAGTGTTTTCCTTAGAGGAGATTGGAAAAGGAGGAAAAATCAGGAGCTGTTACCATGTTATATTTTAAATTGGCTACTTGCCCAATGTAGTTCAAGTGATGAAGATTGCAAGACTAAGATGGGCAGGACACATCGTCAGGATGGGTAGTGAGGATCCACCAAGACAACTGCTGATGGAACCACTCCATAATACCAGGAGAAGAGGAAAGCCAAAACTGCGATGGGCTGATGGTGTTGCTGTTAATGAGACCAAGATAATTGGCAAAAGCTGCTGCAGGAGGTCAGGATCCGACATTAGATTGTAGAGCCAAGCTAATAATAATCAATCAAGATGATAATGAACCATTGTTTTTCACACAGATTTCTATAGTGGAAATTGATCCTTACAGTACTGACAAAGGGAGGCTAGAGTCACCGATTTCAACCAAATTTTTTTAGGTTATACTTCATCAAAAAATTTTGCAAATATATTCTGACGTTCCTTCCAATGGATCCTTGGAGCTGAGAAAAAAAAAATGTTTTGTATAATTTCAAACACAATTTATGTTATGAGAAGAAGTTGTTAAGGTGTGCGGTCAAACTAAATACTATATATTATAATAGTAATTTTTGGTTACACCGATGTTACGACCCTCTTTGTAGGTCATCATCAGGGCTACAAAAGATGCAAAATATGAGTTGATGCAAAGTAAAAAAATGAAATAAATGAATTATGAATTTATTAGTAGATATTAAACAAATACCAGTTTTCTGATAAAGAAATTAAAGAACTTATAACATGACATCAGTGATGTAGAGGATTATAGAATATTTGCTGGGTCCATCTTTACTAATAACTGTATCTAGTTAATTAAAATTATCCACCACTTCAAGGATCTGTCCAAGGAAGTTAATTGTAAGATGTTGGTCTGTCCTGATGTCCATAACCTTGCTCTTATCAGGATTCATACCCAATCCTTTTCTTTTCTATTCTCCAAACCATTCATCCAGTATCGGCACTCCAACCTATCTGCAATTACCAGTATGTCATGTGCATAAATCAAACTTTGGATTAACACTGGAAGCAGGTTCCATTGTCACACAGTTACTCTAGGAGTTCTATTGCATATTCGCCATATGTGGTTCATCACAATCTTTATAAAAAGGTTGTCTAGCTATAAAAGACTGTCAGATGATAGCTAGATTGCTGCACTCTCTTGTAGAATCTTAACCCTTTAACTGTTAATGACGGCTATATTTGCCGCAACTGAACATGCCTCTGTTGCTAATGATAGCTATAGTCAGAGCGCCCCACATTCCTACCCTCAGTGCTAAAGTCGAGTATAGCCCCTGCTATCTTGCTACATTCTACTGGTTTCCTAGTGAAATATAGCTTCTAACTAGTGCCTACAGATGGCATGGGGATTTAATTTTGAGCTTTTTTGAAGAATTCATGAACCGTTATCAGTGAATCAACCGTATTCTGGCTGTCTCGACCATTTTCATTCTTGTTTTGCGTTCTGTGTGAAACAACCGTGTGTTCAACTACTCTGAGTTTATAAAAATTCTATTTAGTTGATTCTAGTTATTTTAGTTAGAAATATGTTTTTTTTTGCCTTTTTTTTTTTTAAATTGAGAAACAGTGGTTTACTGCTGTGGAAGCTGATGAAATCATTATTACTGCCGAAAGAAATATAATATAAAAAAATATTCAATGCGAATCCAGGCTTTTCTTTGTATTGGCAAATGTTTCAAAGAAAAACAAACACACACACACACTTTTTTTTTTTCATAAAATGGGATTTTTTGGTTTATAATGTAAAATATCTTCTGAAATTTATTTTTTAATGGATTATAAAAATATTCCCCGAATTAAATACCCCTTTTCTAATTAGTTAGAAACAATTTTGAAAAAAAAAAAATTAATTCTTTTCTATTGACTTTTGTCCTGCTAGATTGTTAAGACAGCCCACTGTGTACTTCCTTGCTACCTTTCTATATCAGACCATTAGAACTCAGTGGCGATCCTATATTTTTCAGAGCCTACAATTTAAATCCTCCATTCCATTCCGTCCCACTAGATCCTGTATTTCCGGTCTCTATCCTCCTCCTCAGGGAAGTGCATGGCGAATCATTTGAAATTCAAGCTGCCTTCTCTTGGAATTCTATCTCTCCTGATATTTGAAATGTAAAATCAGTTTCTTCATTCAAATCTCTTCTCTTCAAATACCTACTCCTTTCCCAATATGACTGATCATGAAATGTACTTAAAAGAACTTTTAAAATAGCTCTAGAAACTATTTTGTTTACTTATGTTATCTTATTTTCCTATGTTTATTTTATTTATATCTGTATGTGTTTTTTTCTTTCTGTATTTTTATTTTAATTAGATATTATTTTGTAAATATTTAATCTAATATATTATACCCAACAGACATTTACTCTGTATTTATAATTTATTCTAAAGGGACAACACTCCCAGGATAATAAAAAATATTTTAATTTCATTTCAATATTCAAGTGTATAGTTTGTATACAACCAAGGATTGGCAATTAAGTCTATAATTTTCACTGATGGTCTGATCCCCTTCTTATGTATGGGGATAATATTTTGCTTACAATCCTCCGTTGTTCTTATTTTATTCCTAATTTCTTGGAATGGAGTCTGAAATATCTTTTTTAATTGTTCCCTCCGAATTTAATAAGCTCCGGGACAGTGCAGTCATATCCACCAGCCTTGTCAAGTTTCAAGCTATTAAATGCTTCTATCCAAGTTCACATTGTCTATATGAGCAACAAATACAAATTTTTCTTGGTGTCTCTAAACCATCTCCTTTCTATCAGATGTAATATGCCTAACTGCATTCTATATATTTCTAATCTTTTTCTCTCTATTCCTTCTCAGGATTTTCACAATGTTTCATAGACGCATAGAATTCTCTTTGTATTCTTCTCTAAATCCTCTCCAAACTCCTGCTAGGATCTATTTTTAGTCTTTTTCATAGGTTCATAGGAATAGATTTTGCTTCAGAGTGTAATATTGCCAATCAGCCTCATTCTTGCCTATTAAATATTTTTTCCAGGCTTTCTTCTTTTCTTTCACTCTTTGGATTACCTCTGTATTTCATCACTTTGTCCTTTTGGTACTGGAAGTCATTTTTTTTTATATCACAGACTTCAATAACAGCTTGTAGAATCCAATTCTTGAGATTCAACTACAAGGTATTCAGCCTATGGTTACCATTTATTCTTTCGAGCTCCTTTCTCACAGGGTGGCTACCAAACTGTAAAATTCCCTGTCTATTCCTATTTAATGAATGTTTTCCCTGACCAATATGTCAGGGGACACAAATGTTAGAAATCTATAGTTTATAAATTAGTTAGTTGACTATTTACCCACCTCTAACATTAATTTTAATTAATAGAAACTGTATTTTCATTATTAATGTATTATAACATATGTCAGGTCACAGGAAAAAAAACCTATTGTCAACGGCAAAAAGCAAAGGTATTAAAACTTAGTAATAATTTATCTGTTGTTATTTGTACTGAAAACATCAGTACTCTGGGATGACATTACATCAAGTCACATAATTTTTCATACATCTAGAGGTGAATCACAACTCTATTCTGCAACATAGATCAACTAAATTGATATGCAATTAAAGTTTATTAAATAACGTAAATTGGACTTAACTTCTTTTTCGTTAGGAACTTTTTTAAAAAAATTTTATCTAGATTCACCTAAATTTTAGCCGTTAAGAATTATATCATTCTGTATAATAACCACATAGACAGGGTTGGAAGAGATGGTTGTCCAATGGATCTCCGATCTCTGGTCTGGATGGATAGAACTCAGAAGAATGACTAGGATAGAGATATCTACAAGAGATAGATTGAGGCTACTTCACACTTAACAGCACTAAGGAGATAGAGAAAGAAGTTCAGGAGAACTTCCGGGAGCACATGCAGCATCTAAAGTTGGTAACAGGCCCTCCATTGGGGTACAGATAAATCTGGCTGTTAAGCATAAATGTTAACCGCATCACATTCTTGTATAATTTTAGTTTAAAATAAAAAACAATACTTCCTTACTAATTAATATAACCTTGGGTTGAATCAGTAAAACTTTATGTTTAATAAATATATTATCTCTATACTAAACAATGTTTTTTAGTAATATTCATATTGCAAAATTATTTACAGGCCAAGTAAGATGTGTCCACGGCTAATGATAAACCTAGTCCCTGTTGGTGATAATATTGAATTTCTATTCGGTAAATCCGCTAACGATAGAGATGTTCTGTGGATTGGAGACTGTGATGCTGGATGCCAGTTACTGGCAGACAAACTAGGATGGGGAGTAAGTATAAATTTTCATCTAAAACAATTTATTAATATAGATTCATTCCATTCCTAATTGACTTATGGGCTGAAACTTGAAGTATGGAACTGTAGAAGCCCATATTAACCTTCTTGCCTTCAAATCATGAATATTGATTGGCCCATTTTTGTATACAGTGCTATATTGGTCTTCCTTCTCCATGCATTAGTTCTGATCTCCGGTTATTTTTTAATAGATTGTCCTTTCAAATCTTCCTTCTAGGGATTCAAAAGGACTTCAATCTTTCAATACTTCCTTCTAGGGTGCTGGTTAATGTCCAGATCTCACAGCTGTAAATAAGAATTGGTAGTAAGAAAAAATGATCGATTTCTGATCATTGGTCATTCATTGAGGTTACTGTGGAGCTGAGGCATTTAGATTTATCTACTCTCTGGAAGGACTTCTTTTCTACTGAAATTTTTTTGTTGGGTTGGAATTTTCAGCTTACTACCTAGTTTTGCCATAAATACTGTTGCAAAAGTTGAACTTTTATTTACATCCTTGGATATGATTTAGATAATCCTTACCTCTTTCAGGGTAGTTTCTTTACATGTCAGGATAATAATTCCAATTAGTTCATATTTTTCTTTCGCTCAGTTAACATGGAGTGGGGTGATAAAGAAAACCGAATAGCTGTGATCGCCTTACACAGAGTTGGAAAATGTAGGTCAGAGATTTTCAACACTTTGAAACCTTTGTGTATCAGCTGTATGTTCATGCTTATTAATTAAATTGAAAAACTCAGTTTCATAACCATTTTACATGAAAAATATCATTATTTAAATTTTTCGTTTATTAATAAAAAGTGTATTTAGGCAATTATTTTTATTATAATACGTCCCAGATAATGGAAAAACAAGAAATAAAAGCTTTGCAACTGTAAATTATAGTAAGTTTTGTTGAAAACAAGGGTACTTTAAGAAGGAAGGATAAAAAAATCACACAATTTATTTACACAATTTGAGGTGAAGCTCAAATGTTTGCCTAATATACCTCAACTTAATTAATCTGGATTTTAAGCATATTAAACGGGAAAGTTTTTCTAAAGGTGGGGTATCTTTAGTATAGTGAAACATTGAATAATATAGAATTAAGATTAAAAAAAGGGTGATAGGTAAAGACTAATAATTTTTACTAGAACAACTTAACGTAAAATAAAGTAGATAGAATGAACATTAAAGTAAAACAAAGTAGGTAGAATGGAAAGCTTGAGGGAGAGGAGCTGGCAGATGGTGCTCTCTGTAACAAATAACCGAAAAAGGGGAACCAAAGCACAGCACCAAAGGGGCTTCCAGATGGATTATTCCAAGCTACATGCCCCGACCATCTTAATCTCTAGCCTTCATATCATGAGATATTTATTGACCAGTTCCTGTAAGCTTCTCTTTATTCTGGTTTTATTGGTCTTTCTTTTCCATGTGTCAATACTATGATCCCTCCTTTCATCGTGTGGAGGATTTTTCTCAAATCTTACAATACTTTTTTCTAGGGTGCTGGTTAGTGTCCAGGTCTCACAGCCATATATCAGAACTGGCTTTATCATAGCACTGTACACCTGAGATTTTTCGGGATTTCAGTTTCCTCTTGATTACATCTGACCAGAAAAACTGCCACATTAAGCAAATAGATCGATTATATTATCGTAATATGGATATATAATACGGTTTAGTAGGGTATTGGTCATTATCTTGTAGGCAACCAGAAGGATTGCTATGCCTCTATAATTATTACATTCATACATGGAGCCTGTCTTTAGAATAGGACAGATTGGCTCTTATTCCAAGCCTCTGGTATCTTTTCCTTCTTCCATATTTTTTGGATTAGTTGTAGTAACTTGGCTCTTAATTCTTCTCTCCCATCTTTAAACCAAACCACCTTAACGTGCCTAAAACAAATGAAATATATAATGATATTATATATAATATCATTATATTATACATAATACTTTGAGTAGAACAGGAATTTTCAAGGGAAGTTAAATCAAAAATGATAAATGGTACAATATATGATAATACAAATATATCCTGACCGGAGGTGAGGCAAATGAAGATTTTGGACCCCTCTGCTGCAAATGTGGTGAAAGTCAGAAACCTTAGCTCACATATTTGGAAAATGTCCGAATAACATGCTCCTAGCAACCTGCCAGTACATTAATATTAAGCACCAAATAGCCAAAATCCTCGAGAATAAAAAGTATAGAGGCTTCCTCGAAGTTTATTGCCTGGATACGGAAGACTCAACAAAGTTTGTGGATATTGTGTTTTTAGTGCAGAAGGAAAGGAAGCTGTGATAGTGGATTCAACAATAAGATTTTGGATTAATGGATTGATGAAATGTCATCAATCCATTAATCCATTCCTATATAGTTTTTAACATAAATACATATAGATCCTATATCTCGAAATAGTGAAATTTGACTTGGTCAGTTTTATTTGTTTACCAATGTGAGAAAATACGATGTTCTAGTGATGGATCAATTTACTTTTTGTTGTTGTGGAGCAATTTGAAAAGGGCTTGAACCATATATTTTTAATCAATAATTAAGAAACCTGAATGAGGTATGTTATTTGATATCCCTGCTAACCCTTTTTTTTTATTTGTTCCTCTGGCTATAGTTCATAGTCACCATTTGAAACTGTAATCTGGTGGTACTGCTGATGTAAAAGCTAATAAGTAGACCCCTCCAGAATATAAGCTCAGCATTTTCTTAAGTTTTTTTTATCAATATTTAATGTGTGTTTTCTTGTTTTTTTTAGGATGATCTTATTAAATTATTGGCAACAGATGAGACTACGTACTCCAGTATGGAAAGAGGAACGGCAGAAACTAGTTGTTAATGCACTCTGTCTAGTTGGAACTATGTATATATATATATATATATATATATATATATATATATATATATATATATATATATATATATATATATATATTTATAATTCTAGTCTAATTCTTCAAAAATTTCATGTCTGAAAGAGCTAGTAGTTTTCATGATATATATGTGTATATATATATATATATATATATATATATATATATATATATATGTGTGTGTGTGTGTGTATGTATGTAAATGTTTTATTTTTATATTGACTTTTATATTTATGCAATTTAAAAAAATGTGTTATTATATTGGTGTTAATAATTCATAAATTTTTTATTTATTTTTTTCATTTTACTTTTTTGTTTATTGCTGTTATTATTTATTTTTAATAATTTATTTAATTATAAATATAATAAATCATAAAGTTTTAATTTTGTCATACATTTTCTAATTGATTACCAGAATTGTTCCCTTAATTTAACTGATTTTTATTTTGATATAACAATTAATTTAAATTAATAAACTTTCAAATTGGATACAGCCCACCCATTTAAATCACCAACTCCACAAGAGTTTGCCCATTTGTTCTGTGTTATTAATATATTATTTCATTTATGTAATGTAAGTAAATATTTATGTAACAACAGTAATTCTTCTTCATCCAGTTCTAAATTTTTATATTCCCATTTTGATCTATGCTTCGCTCAGTGGTGAAGGAAGAATGAAGTCCTGAAGTATGGGGCAGAATCTTAAGAGGATTATTTTATTTTATTTGAGGAAATTACATAGCACAATAAGTATTGTTTTTTTCAATTCAGTAATTAATTTGGAGAAAATTGAAGATCATGTATTTTATCCTAAATTCAATCACCCTACTATATTAAATGAATTCATTGTTCTATAAAGTTTAGTTTCCAAATTTCGAATATTGACCATGCGGAACAATACAAAGTGATGACTTCATAATAATAATATATTTGTCCTTAAATTCTTAAATTTTTATTTATTTCTCTTTTTATTAACATTACATATCTATTGTTATTTCAATACTTTTTGAATTCTGAGAAATATTTATAGTAAACTTTAAAAAAAATTTGGTGTGGTGTACGGATCACACAACTTTCGCTCAACACTACTTTGAGTAGAACAGGAATTTTCAAGGGAAGTTAAATAAAAAATGATAAATGGTACAATCTATGATAATACAAATATATCCTGACCGGAGGTGAGGCAAATGAAGATTGTGGATCCCTCTGATGCAAATGTGGTGGAAAGTCAGAAACCTTAGCTCACATATTTGGAAAATGTCCGAATAACATGCTCTTAGCAACCTGCCAGTACATTAATATTAAGCACCAAATAGCCAAAATCCTCAAGAATAAAAAGTATAGAGACTTCCTCGAAGTTTATTGCCTGGATACGGAAAACTCAACAAAGTTTGTGGATATCGTGTTTTTAGTGCAGAAGGAAAGGAAGCTGTGATAGTGGATTCAACAATAAGATTTTAAACAAACAGTATGGATCAAGATCTCAAGATATAAATAGAGAAAGAAGGAATCTATAAAAAATGCATTCCATATCTGCAAGAAAAATATATGGTAATACGGTGAACGATTTGATTGTGAATATGGAAGAGGAATGCATAATTTTGATAGGGAGGTAATTCCAGAAATTGACAGAGTGAGCAATAAAGGAGTTTTAGAATGAGGCAGATCTGTGAGGAGGGATATAAAGGTCAGAAGGTCGAGATCTTGTGGGAAAGGAATGCGCTGAGGACTTAAATTGAAGAAGATTGTAGATATAAGAAGGGTGATGAATGTGGATGATTTGATAGAGAAACGTACCTAGAAAATATTGTCTTCAGAAAGAGGTGAAGAGCCACTTCACTATGTAGTGGTGAGAGACATGGAAGTATCTCGGAGTCCCAATTACAAATGGATTGAAAGGGTTTACACAGCTGTTCATTAGTCTTTTCAGTATGTCATGGAGCTCCACCAAGAGGCCACAGTACACCACACAGCTATAGTTATAGTGTGAGAAGATGAGAGAGGAAACTAGGAGTCTACGCGTAGGTTGAGGTAGGAGATGGCAAAAGCAATGGAATAGTTTGAGGATAGAATTATGATATGTAAGGTGGTGTGAGAAATGTAGTAATTCCAGGAGGAAGTTTGATTAATGTAAAAGCCTAAATTTTTAACAGAGGAGTAGAAGGTGATTGGATGGTCATTAAAGTTTAGTATAGGAAAGCTGGTATGGAATGTAAGAAGAGTCTTGGAACCAATGACAATAACCTGAGTTTTGGCAGCATTTAACTTTAATCCATTTGCATTTACCCAGGCACTATTTTGATCTAGGTTTTCTTGAATTTTGGCAAATACCACCAATAACTCAGAGGTATAAAAGGATAGATAAATCTGAGAATCATCGCATAAAGGTGGTGGAAACGATGGAGGATTGACAAATATAGGAGCTGAAAAGGAGAGGAGAGGAGGGCCTACAACTCTCTAGGATAAAGAGGTGTAGGCAGATGGGGAATAAATGAAAACAATTTTATTATTCTAGGACTAGTGTTCATTTTTGAACAAATTATAAATACAGAATATAAATTAATGTGTTGGTGTGTCCATAAAATATAATTAAATATTTACCAAATAATTGATAATATAAACTAAAAATACGGATAGTAAAAAGATATAAAAACATGTATAAATATAAAATTAACAGAGATCAATTAAACAAAGTAGTATCTGGGAGTACTTTGAGGATCTTACGACTTAGAATTGTGTGCATTTGATGATCAATCGGATTGAGAATGGAATAAGTGCTTTGAAAAAGGAAGATTTGAAAGAGAAAATTGACATTGCGTGTCGAATATCAGGACAGATAGAATTCCAGAGGGAGACGGCTTGAATTGCAAAGGATTTGTCTAACGCAGCAGTTCGGTGAGGAGGAGGATAGAGGTCGGACGTACGGAATTGAATGGAGAATTTAAATTGTAGGCTCTGTAGAATTTAGGAGGGTCGCCGAGTACTAATAGCCTGGTACAAGAAGATAACAAGGAAGTATTGACGGCAGTAGGACGAACAAAGCCGCTTAAATTCGGTGTAATACTGAGTAATATGCTATGCGTATCCCTTGAGACCCCGAAGATAAAGCATATTGATCAATTCCTTAGACATTTAGGTTTGGCTTCGAGCTTCTCCGAGAGTCCACCAACACGCCATACAGCCATAGTCGAAGTGGGGAAAAACAAGAGATCAGAAGTTGGTTAGTTTTTAATGGAAGGAGATAGCATAAACGATTAAACCGTTTCAGGGTGGAAACAGTACAGCGAGAAATTCGGGAAATATCTGGTTTCCAGGAAAGGGTTTGATCAAAGGTAAAACCAAGGTTTTTAACGGTAGTATGGAATGAGATAGGCGAGTTGTTCAGGAGAAGGTTGAGAGGTACGGCAATGAATTTGAGGAGTGAGGGGAGTCCGATCAGGATGGCTTTTGTCTTCTCGGCATTTAATGTGAGCTTATTAAGGTTTGACCACGTATATATTATATTGATGTCTTGCTGCAGTTTTAGGATGGAATCAGCCGGGTCGAAGGAAAGGTAAATTTGGGCGCCGTTAGCATACAGGTGGTATTGAAAGTGCAGGATAAAGGAAGGAGTAGGTCATTGATATAGATTGAAAAGAGGGTGTGACATAAGGAGGAACCTTGTGGAATGCCTCTGTACAAGGTTAGAGTCTTTGATGTAGGGTTATTAGGGACAACATACTGTGAGCGACCGGTGAGGAACGATTGGAGAATTATTAACTTAAGGGGGTGACATTATGGTCTTCTGAGTTAAATGCTTTGAAAAAATCAAGAAGAATAAGGATGCTTTGGGCTATGGCTATGTGAAGATCTTGGGAGATTTTAATGAGGGTGGAATGAATAGTCAGGTATAAAAACGGGCTGAAAACTGTTCAAAGGGTTATTTTGTTGGAGATAGTGGGATAATTTGGATTATATTATTCGTTCTAAAGGTTTGGAAAGGTTAGATAACAGGGGGATGGGACGGAAATCGTTAGGGCCCGCGGGATTAGAAGTTTTATTCAGTGGACGAACAAAAGCGATTTTCCAGGTACTCGGGAAAGTGTAACTTTGTGGTGAAAAGTTATAAATATAATAAAGAATATGGAAAATAGATAGAAGTGAGGATTTAATTAATTTAACTTGGATATTCTCTGGTCAGAAATCATTGGTTTGGGATTTACCAATGGATTTAAGGAGGTCGTCAGGGGTAATATAATAATAGAAAAAAAATATTATGATTAAAGGAGGGGTAAATGAGGGGTGGAACTGGTACTTGGAAAGAGGAATGGGAGGAACAGGAGACAGTGTTGCAGAAGTGAGTGTTGAGTAAGTCAGCTGAAATAGAGGTAGACTGGGTTTGGGTGGGTTTACCTCAGGACAGTTTACTGTGGATTGCCCACTTTGCTTTGGAGTTTGGAGTGCTGGATAGGCATTGTTGAAAGTAATGTGGTTTGGCACGGCGCACACTGGAGCGAGCTAACGCTACAGTTGGACATTAGGAAAAACAAAAAATTAAAATTTGGAACTTTGAATGCACTAGTGGCAAATTAATATCATTTCCCCTTCATGCCCACCAATTTTTAACTTAATTGTCGCATTTATAATGCCTTCATGTGAGATAATAAGAGAAGGAATAAAAAACACCTTTTTTATATTTAGAGCTGACTTTTCATTGGCGTCGGCAATTTTTCCTCAAAACCTAACACTATTTGCTGGGCAGAATGAGGTACTTTTAGTGAATCCTACGACAACTGAAATATCGGTTTTTATATATAAATATAGTTGTAGAAAGTTTCAAATAATTGCAAACAATTTTGGTCCATTTCGAAAATCGCTCAGAAAACTAAATATACCCTATTGTTAAGAAAGGTTTGAACTTCTAAAAACAGTTTTCAGACCTTACTCCAACCGGCCACCGCAGGAGTTATTGAGGATTTACACTCGGAAACGATGAATTTAGCTAGTCCTGTCATAAATATTGTTAAAAGAAATATATACAGATTTCAACAGAAAAATTAATTTTTTTTCAAAAACTTTATTTGAAAATAAAATGTATATCTATAGAGAGTAAAACAAATAAGAAATTACTCAAAATGTCCTTCTTTTGCCTGGACACAGACGTTTGATCTCCTTGCTCAGTCATCAATCGCAGCAAGTATCACTTCTTGAGGAAAGCGCTCAACTACTCGGACCAGAGATTGTTTGAGGCTTTCTAAGTTAGGGTGTGATCTGTGGCATGCCATCCTCTCCAGTTCGGAGCAAAGACGATAATCTAGTGGGTTGAGATCAGGGCTTCCTAAGGGCCAATCCGAGGCAGATATGAACACTACAATGTTCTTTCGCAGTCACTGCTGAGTTGAGCCGCCCTTGTGAGCTGTATCGAAATCCTGCTGGAAAACCTAATGACTTCCTGCAAACAGAGTATCATTTAGAGGCTTGACAATAGATTCCAAAATATCGTCCTGATAGTTTTTCACAAAAATGGGGCTTTGTGGTGTCATCAAAGCAAACTCCCCACCAAACCATCACTGAGGAAGGTTGATAATCTCTTTCCACTCTTCCAATAACTTCCTGGACTTCTTTAGAGATGTGTGCGTACACGCGATCTTTTTGGCGATTCAATTGTAAAAATTTTCTCATCGCTAAACAAAATCTTTCGATGAAGACCACTGGTGTAACGGCCAAGGAGCAATTTGCATCTATCCACTCTATTTTTTTTAGGGATGTGGTTAGTCTTTGTCCTGTCATTCTTCGAAATGCACCCATCCTAAGACCACTTTTTATTATGCTAGACATGATTCATTATTTTCCAATGGGATTTCTTCTGATACGGGCAGCCACTGCTCTCACTACATTTGTCGTTCTCACAATGCGGGACGGCTCGGTCGAGGTCGTCTGTCACATACAGATTGGATCTCATTATATCCATTTATAGTGCGGTACACGAACATACGGCTGATACCCAAAGGTTTCTAAGTGTTGGAAATCTCTGACCTACATTTTCCAACTTTGTGTAAGGCGATCACAGCTATTCGGTTTTCTTTATCACCCCATTCTATATTAACCGAGCGAAAGAAAAAAAAAAATAATTGGGATTATTATTCTGACAACATGTAAATAAAATAACCTGATAGAGGTAAGGATTATCTAAATAATACCCAAGGATGTATACAAAGTTCAACTTTTGTAACAGTATTTATGGCAGAACTAGGTAGAGTGATTAACAATACTTTTTTTTAATAGTGTATTCGAGCATCGACGCAGTTTTTGACTAAATAATACCTAATTGTCTATCCTGACCAAATTATAACCGTATCACGATTTTAATACCTAAGTTTTAAAAATAAAAAAATATATTGGTATATTATATACATTTGTTTTAATATATTTATATTTTAGTATGATATGTCTGTATGAAATAGGTAATAAACTATATAATATCTGAACAATATAATGTATTCAATACAAACTACAAGACATGAATTTTAAACAACCTGCTGTTATGTATCGCGAATATTTTCACAATAGAATATAAAGAATTAAAATGGAAATAGAACTTCTTATGACGTTTCAACATTTGAATGATTACAATATTTTTCTTTCATAGTCAAATAAAACAATTGAGTAAGTATATCAGTTGACAGATTGAACTTTCCTAGTTACTATAGATTTAATTAGTCAATGATTGATAATAGCAGACAAATATTTATCTGTTAATTAATCTGTTAACCGATTCGAATTTCATATCAAGTTTAGGAGCTGATTAAATCTGTAATATCACAGGAAGCGAAAAGTTTGAGTTAAAAAAGTTAATTGAAAATTATTTTTATGAAATTCCATGTATATATATATATATATATAAAAGTTAAGGTACGGAGCGGGACAGTATTAGCTTTAATACCTAAAGCATTGAGGTAAACAACTCAGAATGTATATATAGGAGATTATAAGGAGCAATAAAGCAGTCTTGTTTCTGACTTCATGCGTGTTATTTGTGGATCCTTTACTGTTTTTTTTAAGTGTTTGAAGCCCGCAGCGTTTAACTGGTGCCGAAACCCGGGAAGGTGAGAGTACAGAGGTACGTTTTTTTTAAACCACCAGTACGAGCATGCCTGAGTTTGCTATAGGACAGCCGACTACCATGAATGCGCCGGAGATCCGTCCGTTGCCGCAGGGAACCTTGGCCACGGCGCATGCGAACGCGATAGAGTGGATGAAAATCCGGGTAGCCACTGCACAGGACCTCAGGGAGGCTATATCCGATCTCGAGCGCTTCACGGGAGAAATAGGTGAGCTCAACCATTTTTTAAAGGGTGGAGATCGGCTCGTGGCGAGAATTAATGCGAAGATTGGGGAGAACCTCGTCAACGCCGGGGATGCGGAGGCCCTTAAGGCGGCCCTGGTGTGCAGGGTAAAACGGAGCATCCTGAACCACATTCAGGGAGATGAAGAGACGCCGTGGGAAATGGTCAAGGAGAGACTGAAGAAGGCCTACGGTGGGGGCAGGTGGACTACGGAAGAAGACATATATCAGATGTTTCGCGAGGTGAAGTCTTCACGGCAGTCTAACGGACAGTATGCGGCAACATTAGTAGCTCACTACAACCGGGTCACCGAGAAGATGCGGGAGACAGCTGGAGCCCCGGAGGTCGAAGCGAAGATGGCCTTCTTGTCCACCATACTGAAGGTGCAATTGGCGAAGGAAACAGGGAAGAAAGATGGCCTACCCCGGGAACGTTCGTTTATTGAATGCGCCCAAGAGATGGTAGATTCCAGCGCTCGAGATGAAGAAGCCCGGTTCGAGGGGGAGGAACCAGGATGGAATAGAGTGATCTACAGGAGACCTAGGAGTTCACCAACGACCTGGAGAAGGAGAGAGCCCGCACACAACGGGAGAGAAAAGACTACCGGAGCCGAACGAAGACCAGAGCAGGGTAGAGCAAGAGGTAGGCAGCGTAGAGAGGACAGGAAATGCCACGGTTGTGGAAAGAGTGGACACCTGGTGGCACAGTGTCCCCGCACGAAATGTTTTGAGTGTGGGACTGAAGGACACATTGCGAGGCAATGCCCGTACATTTATTCCAGAAGAGGCTCACAGAGGGTTGAGCCGATGGAGGTAAATGCCCAGGGAGTGAGGAGAAGAAGGAGTCACACAAGGAGGAGCGAGTCATCAAGAGACTCGTCGGAGGAATCCTTGGCCACGGAGACAGAGGAAGAAATAGAGGACCCAGTAGGACGGGAGAACGAGAGGAGTCGAGGAAGAAGCAGCGGAAGGAGTGGACGCCGACAAACCGTGGAGAGGATCTGAGGAGAGTGCCAGGCGAGGGGTGACCGCACGCTAGTGAGTTGTAGCATTAGAGGAAAAAGCTGCTGGTTACCTATAATAGAGGTGGGAGGAGTGCGATGCCTGGTAGACACCGGGAGTTCCAACACCATCATGACACGGGGAGTGTTGAAGAAGCTGTACGATGGAGAGAGGACACTCCAAGTCAAGGTATGTAATTGTAAGTTAATCACCCTGGGTGGCCCGTGTGGGGTAGAAGGGGAAGTGGAGATAGGTTTGAGGAGGTGGGCAGCCAAGGGAGGTAAACTTACGGTGCATGTAGTGGGAGAAATGCCGCGGGAATACCAGGTGATCATAGGATGTGATATGTTGGGGAAGGTGGGCGTGCGAATCGCATATAGAAGGGAGGAGTGGAAAATAAAGATGGGGAGAATCAGGTATACGAGTACGATGGCAATAGAGGGGCATGAGGACCGGAGAGCACGCGTGGGAGCTATAAGTCGGGCGGAGGATTGGAGAGTGGTCGTGAGAAGGGAATTCGAAGACATCTTTTTCAAGGAGGGAGATACGTTGGGGGTGACGGGCAAAACGGTGCACGAGATCCCGCTGAAGCGCGAAAAGGTGAGCTACGTGAAAGAGAGGAGGTATCCGCAGGCACTGCGCCAATACATTAGGGAAGAGTTGGAGAGTCTGAAGAAGCAGGGGATAATTGTCGATAGCACGTCGCCATATAATAGCCCGCTATGGGCGGTTAAGAAGAAAGGCGCGCCCGGAGAGGAGAAGTACCGCGTGGTAATCGATTACCGCAAACTTAATGAGAATACTGTGGATGAAAAATACCCAATCCCGAAGTTTGAGGACATTTTAGATCGGTTAAGCGGGGCTACGGTATTCAGTACTCTTGACCTGAAAGCGGGATATCATCAGATTAGGATGCTTCCGGAAGATCAATTGAAGACAGCATTCAGGTTCGAGAGGGGGCATTACGAATTTACGAGAATGCCGTTTGGTCTCAAGAATGCCCCTATAACGTTCCAGCGGCTAATGGACGAGTACCTAAGGGGAATCGACGAAGGGATGTGCCAAATTTACATGGACGACCTGTTGGTATTTAGTAAAAACGAGGCGGAACACGTAGAGCATCTACGAAGGGTATTTGAGAGAGTCAGACAATTTGGGCTGAAACTGTCCAGCGAGAAATGTCTGTTAGGGCAGGACCACATAAATTTTTTAGGACACACGATATCGAGTGAAGGTGTAAAACCTGACGCGCGGAAAGTGGAGGCGATTCAGAAGATGGCAATACCTCGGGATGTAAAAGGGATCCGCAGATTGTTAGGAACCCTTAATTATTATCGACGATTTGTGCCCGAAATGGCGGAATACCTCGTACCCCTCAACAATTTATTAAAGAAAGGCAGCAAGGTGATAGTAACCCCCATAATGGACGACAACATTCGGAAATGCATGGCGAGGCTGCAGGAGGAGCCAGTATTAGCATTTCCGGATTTTACGAAGGTGTTTACGATCACAACGGACGCTAGCGAATACGCGTTGGGGGCTGTGTTATCCCAGGATGGAAATGGGGGGGACCGTCCCGTAGCATATGCCAGCAGGCGACTTACGGAGGCAGAGTCGCGATACAGTGCGCTGGAGAGAGAACTGCTAGCGATCGTATGGGCTATCGACCATTTTAGGCCATATGTTTTTGGGAGGAAATTCCGCGTGCAGACGGACCATAGACCCCTACAATGGGTAGGCAAGCTAAAGGAATCTTCGGCTAGAGTCACACGCTGGAAGGAGATTCTAAACCAGTACAACATGGACATTGTGTACAAGCCCGGAAGAGAGAATGTGGTGGCGGATTGGCTATCGAGAGCGCTCACTATAAACGCCATAGAGGAGGATACAGCGGAAGCATCGGGAGGCGTGAGACAATTCCTGAGGGACTGGACGCCAGAAGGAGAGGGGGAACAAGTGGTGGAAGAAAATGTTGATACCCAACAAGAAGAGAGTCCAGCGGAAGAGAGGCCAGTGGACATGGAAGAACGGGAGGAAATCATCAACGATAAGAACCGCCAGATCATCTGGAAAACCAGGACGTCGGGTCTGATGAAGATATTGTATAGTAAGTACGGCAACAGCCGAATAACAACCATTTGGTCACAACCAGGGGCCAGCGGGGACCAGATCTGCAGAGCTCTCAAAGACGCGTCGAAAGCTGGAAAAATTCATCACTTATATGTAGGAAATGAAACGATTTGGGAGAAGATAAAGAGGCTCTGGCGGGATGAACGATTAGGGATGGATAGGACGTTCATTCGGTGCAAACTGATGGTGGAGACAGTGCGGGATGAAGAGCAGCAGAAGGACATAACGCTTGCTTACCACCAGGGCAAGACCAACCAACGGGGGGCGCAGGAGACGTTCCAAGCGTTGCGTCGGAAATATTTTTGGTGGGGGA